ATTCTTCAAAGCAGCAATTACTGCTATCTCTCAGCATATTGCTCTATGCCCAAGACAGCACTGCCTCCCTCAATAACCTGCTGCCCAGAATACAGTCACACTCCCAGTACTGCACTGGTGACTTAGTGGACTGGTTTACAGAAATACTGTATATCTAAGGATATTTTATATTGTATGTAAAGTATTATTATTATTGCTCTTATTCTTCATTATCAATTTATTACCTTTGAGAATTCCCTCATGATAGCTTTGTGATTCATGTTCTCTATCTCATCCCAACACTTAGCTTCTATTTACTCTGCTTTTGACAACCTGAATAGTGTTTTGCCTTTTTTATTAACCAGTAACACATTTATTAGCCACCTCGTTTTGTGCAAAATAAACCACAAAATGCCCTACGTCCTAGATCAGGCTTCCTCTTGCAGCTCCAAGCCAGACCTAACCCCACCAGAAGAAGAGAGTCCTGACTGACCTCTGCCACAGGCAGGCAAACATCCAACAGACTCAAGGAAACCCAGTTGGAGATCTGAGTCTTTCCATAACATAAAGCTGGCAGACAGCTGGTGGGCAGGGGCAGAAGCAATGCATCTGCACCCTACACGCCACATGTGCTCCCACACACCACCGCTGGCCCAGTGACCTCCTACCTCCCCATGCAGAAATTGGACGACCAGCAACAGAGCAGAAGGAAGGTCCTCCACCCTGTTCTACCAAACCAGCTAGTCAAATGGGCATAAAACGATGACCTGCCCTAGGAGTGAAGCTTAATTCACTTCCTTGCCCACCCAGTCACTGGCCAGTTTCTTATGAGAGTTCTTACTGCCAAAAGTCTGCAATGCAGAGAACTCAGCAGGTCTAGAGTTGATGGGCATCTAATGAGACAGTAAAGCACCTCCTTTTTTTAAATGCCTTATTCAACTTAAATCACTTTGCCGTAGTGTTTCCAACTCACGCGCTTCTTTTACATTGGATGTAATTCATTCTGAAGTAGGTAAGGACAGACAAATAAATGCTCAGTGATTGTGAGACTCCTCCCACTTACGGTAATATATCAGCTGGGAAGAACGTGGTTAATCCTCCAACATGTTCCTCTGCACCCAGATCTGGGTAAACTGACGGTGCTAGAAGAAAAGACCTTCCTTTTTATTGCTTGTGCTCTGGAGAATGACAAGCTAACAGAAAATGAGCAAACAGTGCAGATGCAGGCAGTGGCAGAGAGCGCAACGTGCTTATATTACACACTGAGGGTTCATTCTAGTGAATATTTTCTCCAGAGGAAAAAGGGACTTTATCAAGAGCAATCTGTATGCAGAACTTCTCTCGTTATCCTGTCTTTTTTTGACACTGATGGATTGACAGACCAGCTAGCAAAAGGCATACTGAAGAAAACAGCACTGGTACTTAAGTGGTAAAGAGAGACAAAATACAGCCAGACAATAAAAGGCAAGTGAAGCAACTTCCCTCCACCCTAGAGTGGAAAAGATGGGTTTATTTCTCAAGAATCACTTTTTTTTTTCCTTTCTCTCCTTATTCTGTGTAACTATTTCTCCCTTCAGTGGTTTCTTCTCTTGCACTGCATACCTTTCAAACAAGCTATTTTTACTACTACTTAATTACAAGTGCAAATTAAATCTAGAAAAAAGAACCCTGAACCAGTAACCTGGCATGTGCATATCAACATACATACGCACACTTGTATATGTATAAACTCTAAAATCCAAGTAAACTTCTATTTCCAATTACAATTCCACAAGTAAATAGTATTATTTAGGTACTGGCAGATTCAGGTTTCCCCCCCTTTCAGAATGTCTTACAGTGATTGCCTCCTCTTTATTTCAACAGGCATTATTAACATGAGAGAAGAGACTGGATTTTACTGTCATGTTTGCCAGCACTCCAGTGACAGAAAAGCCATATATAAAAGAGTCTGATACATGCAATAAGGTTTTGTGTCAAATTACCTAGGCTGTTAAATCTGACTTACACTGCAAGAAAAAAATTGGACCTGAGCTGGGTTTCACTTTCTCTATATTCATAGTGCAAATATACTAATTTAAATGGATCTCTGTTTGATTTCTTACGACATAAGAAGAGGATCTTGACCTTTTAAAGTAGAACTTTCTGTGTTTTAGCCCAATTCTTCCTCGAGATTTCACCAGACTAAACCAAGGTAAGACTGCACTAGAAATGTAAGATGTTTCTTTATAATATGTAAGATTTTGAATGTGCCATACTTACTTGCTGTTTCTCATCTGTGAGAAGGTTACACAGGTACTACCTACAGTTGATATAAAAATATATGTATTTTCTTCTTAGGAAAAAAAAAAAAAGAAAATAATTTCTCTTTTAACATCTCATTCATAGCAAACAAATGCCACCGCTGATTTAACAGTAACCTTCTTTAAGCCACATAAATAATACTATATCCATTGTGGATTCATATTTGAAGCTTAATTATTATGTTTTTCTCTACATTTTGATCTTATCCCAGCAAAAATAAAGACTATTGATACATTATTTTACTTAAATATTGTAAGAATGTAGACCTACTTACCAAAACCTCTAAATTAGACTGTACAGGTAGAAAATCCAACATTTTCACTAACATTTTTTTGGGGAGGGGGGGAACGTTTTAGTATCAGAATAGAAGGTGCATATACATGTTTCAAAACACTGATGATATCGAACAGAAATTTTTAAGATGTATCCTTACGGTCATCAATTACACAAATACCCTTACAACAAAGGAGATAAAAGATTGATTTAAAATGGATTAACTTTTCTTTACTGGACTGTGCTCCACACCACATCTTTTATTCAATTGAAAGCAGCAAGTATTTGGGAGTTTTAATAATAAAGAGCCCTAATGCCCCAGGTCAAAATAAATCCTCAGTAATACAGCAAAGCTTCCTTAGACCTCATCGGTCTCAGAATTTCACCAACAGGTCAAAATTTAGACTCAGGGTTGAAATTCTCCCAACCTTTTATAAAATCCATGAAATAAAACAGAAGCTTGAAACAAAAGTAAGATGTGTTGTAATTCTTACAGTCAGTACATTAATTTTTGCAGTTAGAAGTAATAAAAAAGCCTGGTTCATATTCATAAATATATAAATTCCAATAAACTCTGATAATCTTAGTCAGACAAACAGAAAAAGAGAAAACTTTATAGTGTTCCTGAAGTAAAGCGGAGAAGGAAGGACGTAAGACAATATACAAAACCATGCCTGCTGCAAACATTAAATCAAAGTGATCTATAAAACAACATACACATTTAGATAGTAACCCAATTTAAAAATAGCATATATCCTTTATAGAGTAAAAATGTAATTATTTTCAATAAAGAGAGTTAATATAGCTTTGTAAAATTTTACAACTGATAGACATATTGCATAAATATGTGCACTGCTACATATATACAAGTCTTTAGGCAATGTACAATAATGGAAATCAGAAAATAAATGTATGGAGTTTAGAACATGTAGACTATGAGGACCATGGTAAAATGCACAGTAGATTAAAATTTACCACCTTTATTACAAACAACTAACTATCTTCAAAATACATTCACGTGGTCATAATATATTGCCTTAATCTGGGACAGTTAACAAAATCCTCAATGTTGCAACATGAGCAATTTTTGGTTGGTACAAATCAATGAAATTCCACCAAAGTCAGAAGCTGTACATTGATTTTCACCAATTAAGAGTCTGGGCAAACTTAAAGCTGTATTTTAAATGCAACATATCAAGTAAATATTATCATAACGCAAAACATGTATTTTGAGAAAAATGCACAATTACAGAAAAATAATTTGACAGAAAAATTATAGCCATGTTGTATGTTCTGTAAGAAGCATATTATCATGTATATTAATACATTATAGAAATGGATGTCCCTAAGCTTTTAAAGCTTAGTTTGAATACCATAACCAAATGACGTTTTTACAAGCGTTAAAGGTTTATGAACTAATAAAAAGTTAACATTGCAAGTGAAGAAGATATAGCTTCATAATGATTTCACTGGTGTTTGATTACACCAAATGATAAAAATATTTTCACTCAATAACACTCTGCAAAAGGTGTTTCTTTTCCCAATGTTTGTGATCAGCAGTTTCCCCATTCGCGACTACCCATCGCTCACTCCTCTAGAATCTGAAATCTGGTAATTTCTCCCCAGCAATAAAAAGCTTGCATAGCTTCTAGTTTGTGAAGGAAACCAAGCAAACAATTTGATTCTTTGCATGTATTGGTAGCATTAGAAAAATTCTATATACTTACAGACGAGAGAAAAGAGTTTGACTACCCCAAACTGCCCATAACAATGCGAGACAATTATGTTCCATAATGCCCAAAAGCTCCTCTAGACCATTCCTCTATGGCTCACGTTACCTGAGAAATAGTACGTCCCCAAGAAGGTCATAGTCTGGACAGATTGCAACTTTCCAAGGACCGGAAAAAAAAAGATACTCTTCTCATCTCAGTGGAACAGATTAACTTTTCAAGCATTCCTCTGTAGGCTTGCTCTGGGAAATCACTTAACAAAACCTGCAACCTCGTTTAGGTCTGAAGATTTAATTCTTGCAATTCAGGTGTATCACTTTTACTGTTTACACTATGAAGATAGCCCAATAATTCTAAAAACTGGAAAACTGGCTGGGAACGTAGACACATTAGATCTGTGTAAATTTGAAAATTCAAAAGGAAATTAATTAGATTTAACAAATTTGGTGGAATTTATTTAGAATGATAAAAATTCCGTTATTTAGCATTTGCAATCACTTTTACTTACAAATTAGGCTACGAAGTTATGGAATAAAAATACGCATTTAATCTAAAATACCAGATAAAACATGAAAAAGAAGAACTACTCTTCTACTCAAAGTTATATATTTAATAATAAAACAGAAACTCAAAAGAGTATTTTATTAGGTCATTTAATTTAGCGTGTTCAATTTTAAGCTAAATTGTGATTTATTTTTATATTGGTTTTGCTTTTACATATGAAGTCACATATACAAACAGTTCTAGCACTAAAGGCAATACCATATTAGAAAGTTATTACATTTGATGGTTATTAGTCTTTTATTAAGTAGTTTATACACTATTGAAAAGCAATTACAGTAGATAATATATAATTGTGCAATGTCTCAGAACTGTTTAACAACTTAAAATAGGAAAAAGAATAATTTGAATTGTAAGAAAAAAAGTAAAATTCAAAGCTGTTGGAACATTTTGTTGAAAAAATGCGGACTTCTAAGCTAATAGATGGGACTTTTCAATGAACGTTGCAACTGAAAATTTGAAATTGGTGATTTTTAATCTCCTGCCAGACGGAAATGCATGGATATGGCAACGTGTAATCGTAATTGTCCTACGTGGTTTCTTTTTTTCAAGTGTACTGCTATATAATTAGATGGATTTTGTCTTTGATAGGACATCAGAACCCAGGGGACCACCCGTGCTGACTGCCGCAGCGGGGGCAGAAGTGCAAGGGCAGCGTGAGTCAGCTCAGGCAAGAGGGAGCAGGAGGGAGCAGCCAGCACGCACCTGCCAGCTTCAAATGGAGATTCCTCTGCTTGGCACCCGCGTACTACGGGAGGTAGTGGAGACACACAGATTATGTAGGCATACTCTTGAAATAAAGGAGGAGTATAAAGTCACCTATATGCTGCATTTTTCAGGTACCAGATAAATAGAAACGGGCAAATTCACCTGAAATTACCACTAGAGAAAATACACCTTCTTTATGGCATTACAGGGATAGATGCTCAGCAACATCCCGCTCCACGCCACAGCCTCAGGCGGGGGATCCGAGCCGCTCTCCGGAACTCGACCCCTCACCTGCTCTTTCTTATCAACTTTTTGCTTGCTAACATAGTTTAGCCCTTTGAAACTGCATGACACGGAAATCCCACATCCCTTGAGTAGCTGACACTGTAATCATAGCGGCAAGATGTTGTCTGCTATAGTTTTAATGTAATATTATACTAAAACTGGCAATATTGATACAGGTAAAGTTCTAACACTATAGATGCAGAAAATAATATCCATATATATATGTTTTAGGATATAACATTACTTTTCAGATGGTTAGAGTCTGTAGCTATTAATATGCAATGTATATTAATAATATTCCCAAATTACTCTTTTTTCAGTTCAACTGTATATAATTTTATTATACTATATAAAAAGGTGAAAAGAAGTAATTAATTTGAGATCTAGCACCTACCTTTTATTACAGAGGGCCTACTTCTAGCACTAACGGTCATGCTGCAAATCCTTAGCTTCACTCACATGATAAAACTTCATTTTAACTCAAAGAGATGGCTCTATCTCAGAATGACTTCTGGTTTTATTCTGGGCCATCGCAGGTGTGGTGCCTGATACATCTCATATTGAAGCAAATGAGAAGGTTTCACTGGCTAAAGCCGGGTGAGGTTCGACAGCAATAAAAAGGTTACAGAGGTAGGGAGACGTCTCTGAAATACAGTTAGAAATAACGGCAATATATTATTATTTAAATTAAGCTCTATTCTATGTTGTTCTATTTCTTTACCAAAACGCTGCAGGAAAGAGGTGGGGGGGTTGGGTGAAGTGAGGAAAGAATTTGTATCAAACCCTGGTGGGTTCCCCACGTGAAACTATTCCTGACCTCCCCTTCACGCTCACACACTCCTGCTACCTTCACAGCCCGCAGAGGCAGCAAGGACCTCGCTCTGACAGGTCTGTCCCCCACCAGGGGCTCTGTGTGACCAGAGAAAGGATGCTTGGTGGAACCCAGACCTTCCCTGTGCTCTACCTTTCTGCTATAAGCAATATTCCCTTGAAGGCAAACTGCCGTTGGTATTTTCCATTTTGTCCCCTTCTAATGTTGACGTTATTTTTGTTACATCGTCTTGTTGTGGTTTAGTACAAAAGGGATTAGCTCCAACAGTCGGCAGTTAGTGCACATACGACAAGTAGGCAAAATTTGTCACAGTGACATCAAACCGCTAACACAAACAGATCTATTACCCTTTCTCTCTCGCTCGGTAAGACAGCTGCCCTCGAGGTATTAGCCTCTCAGCCTCCCTGATAAATCACTGACGTATAGGAAACCTGATTATCCCAACACAGCAGGGGTAGACGATGCTTTTCAGCTGCAGAAGAACATGGAAGAACAACATCCATGAGGCTTATAATGAAAGATTTTTGATATACTTAAGTAGTTAACAAAAATTTATTGCAAGAGATAGTTTGTCACTAGATTTACAGTTTCAGAGAACATAGTACAAAACATAGTGCATCAGCTTTGTCTAAACATTAAATAGGTGCAAATACACAAAGATAAAAAACAAAAAGTGAATACTTTACAACATAAGTTATAGAACTATAAATATCTTTTATATACATTATACATATTCTAAGACATGATTTTCACTTATATAGAGAGAGTTCATATTAGTATCAGACTACTCAGTGCTTTAGTTATAGTATAGGTCTGAACTTTACATGAATGTTTGCATCATTATACTTACAGTAAATGCTTCCCAAGGAACGAGGAATTTTAACCAGTTTATTTCACAGAACCGTTCTGCAAAGCCGCGGGGACTGCAGGAACGGCAGGACCGCTCAGCTGAAGGCTCCTTCCCCCGTCCCCGAGAGCCCGTCCTAAAAGAGGGGCTGCAGGGGAATGACAGCCGGGTGCGGGGACAGCAGGGATGGGAAGACGGTGTGCGGCAGCGGGGGGAACGCCAGCGGGGTCGGGTGCAGGACCGAGGGCGGCAGCAGCGGCAGATGCGGCGGGGCGACGAAAGCTGCGTGGCCCCCCGGGCAAAGCCTCGGTCCGACTGGCAGATGAGGTAAAGGCGCTCTGGAAAGAGCCGGGACCTGCGAGAGGAACTGCTGGTGGGGCTGGAGAACCTTCAGCGCACTGGCGGCAGCGGCGGCGTGCTGCTGTAGGATGGTGTGGTGGATGGTGGTCACAGAGGTAGAACACAGCGGCGGCTGCAAGGGCAAGGGCTGCAGCGGGGAAGTCGCAGCCTGGATTGCCGGGGGAGGGAAGGTGAACTTCACTTTGTTGGCCAGCATGTTTTGTGGCATGATCTGCTGATACGCCTCGGATGGGAGATCTTTGAATTTTTCGTGGTTGTCTGGAGGGAATATCAATGTCTGATCGGGCAGGGTGAAGGGGGCTATTAACTGCTCGGTAGTTAAAAAGGTATGACTGTTTACATGTGCTTCTTTGAATGGCAAGGGTGGTGGGCTGCTAAATATGCCAGGACTACACTGTACCCATTCACTGGTCACCTCATTTACTTTCTCATGCGGTATAGGCTCGGCCAGTTCGTAATGGCAAAGATAGGATTTAGGAGGAGCTTGTTCTAAATGTCTGTTGGGGAGGGGAACTTTGCAACAAGCTTGATTTTCACGACTGTTGGCATTTTCTTTTTTCTTTTCACCTTGCAGAACATCCTGCGTGCCGGCAGGTGCTGGAGCACTGTGCTCAGGAACAGATGCAGCAGAACCTGTGACAACAGCTGAAAACGTACCCGGAGCGCTCTCCATCGCTGCGCATGCCATCGGTTTGTCATTTTCCAGCACACATGAACTATCAGTTTCTAGAGGTGACTTGCTTTCCTCTAGCTGCATTGTTTCATCTGTATCTTTTGCATGATTAGCTTTGGGATCCACATTAGTTTCCTCTAGATTGTCTTGAGTCAAGAAGTCCCCCAAAATATTTAACGTAGAATTTGAAGAATTTTCTTTGGAAGGTCTGGAGGTCTCACTTCTTGCGCTCCTGTCAAGGAATACATGACGGAGTCTAGTTTTCCTTCTTCTGTGTTTCCCTTTTACCTTGTGATGCGCACCTAAAGTATGCGCTTGCCTTAGATATTCCTCTGCTGATAATGTGTGTCCAGATGAGCTTTCATCTGATGAAGAGGAATAGGTATGCTGCCTCCGCTTGCGGTGGGATTTTTCAGATTCCTCTGTCAGAACACTGTAACCTCTCTTTATGGACGGGTTTTGACTTGGACTCTTCTCGTCACTGCAGTGTCCTAAACATTTATGCTCTGGGCTACAGTTTGACCTCCTGACTTTCCAGCTACAACATGTTCTAGAGTACCTTAAGCTGTGCCTCCTGGAACTCAGAGCCCACTGCTTGGCCTCCCTCCGAGAGCTTGCTTTGCTCTTTCTGTGAGGTCGCTTACAACCATGGTGTTGGCCGCTACCTTTTGCAGTCCAAATGTTACACCAGCCTCTGTCGCCGTGTACATGATCTGACGCAGACATGACTCTCTTATGACCATTTTCAATGCCAAGGTTTTGGTGCGACTGCTGTATCTCACCTGCAGCTAGCCAGATATTCCCTGCATCATGTCTGCACTTCTCTGGGTTGTTTTGGAGGTGCTGATATTTATTTTCATCTCTGTAGCTAATTTCTTTTTCAGTCACTGAGCACATCTCCATTTCTGCTGCTGCTGTTGTGTCTCCACAGTGATGATGATGACAATGACATAATTTTCTTCTCCTTTTCCGTTTTCTACTTTTGTGAAGCCATTTTTCATGGCTTTCTTTGATCCAGACTTTGTTATATTTCTCATCTATCACAGTGTTTTGTCGTAAGTGATTTTTAGCAATGTGATACTTTTCTATTTTTCTAATCCTGAATGATTCATCCAAGGACACTTTATTTTGATTTTTTGCAAGATCACAATTTCTGATGAGGGAAACATCACTTATAAGGGGTATTGTATAGTTGCACACATTTTTAGTAATTTCCGTTTCACAATCACCACACTCTGAAGTAGGTTTGTTTGTAAAATCTGAGACTAAGCTATGGTTGGCCTCAGTTTTATGGTGCACATGAGGTATGTTCGGCTGATGCTTGGGTGTTTCTTGACTGTCACTTGCTTTTGATGACTTGAAATCAAAATATAAAGGATTGCAGCTATAAGAAATCGATGGGTCTGTACTTGTGTAAATTAACATTTCTGATGGCCACTGAAGAATATTTGATCCATGTTTGCTAAGAACGGGAACAAAGGGTTCACAAGGTCTCTTGCGCATGTCTGGTTTGCTTTGTGGAGCTCCACTGTTACCTTCTTCAGGGGGTGATGGAACTAATGCATCTGCCCCTGGCTTTTTTATTTCAGTTTCAGTTGTGGATGAATCACTGTTCCTCTCTTTATCATTTTCTTCCACAACATCCTGCAGAGATAAACAATCCTCCGTGACCTCCTGATCGAGAGCCCTGTTTGTTCGCAGCCCGTAACTGCTGCAGTCCAGGGGCAGGACCTGAGAACTGTCTGCAACCGCCGGCAGCGTTTGGTCCAGTAAGTCTGCTGCACTTACATCAATGCCACAGCCATCTGTGTCCGAGGACACCAGCTGCCTTGAGTGGGACACAACAGGGGTTAATATGGGACTCTCTAGCACCCTGCTCTCTTCACTGGCCAGCTCTTTTGCCTCCTGAGCTTCAGGAGCTTCTGCTGTCTCTATGCATTTTTCCACCAGTGGGTGAAAACAGTTATGTTTCTCCTCAGGGCACAGGACTATTTCTGCCGCCGAAGGAGACTGAAGGTTATATGTTCCTGGAACAAACCTACTTCTTCTGCTGAACCCGTGTTCCATAGACGTTTCATCATTATATTCATAGAAAACGGCAGCTGAAGACTCCAGTTTGACTGCTGCTTTCTTAGGAAAAGCAAAAGAGAACCCAACTCTATGTCCTTGGGCTCCCTGAACCTGATCTCCACATTTGTTAGTGTCAGATTTATTACCACATGCATTTCCAGGAGTGGAAGAAATAACAGAAGCAACGTCTTTACAGTTCTGTGCATCGTGCATTAATGTACAGCTGAAATCCTGTTTGTTGGCAGACTCCATGGCAGCGCTTTGTGGGATATCATTGCAATGATCTCGCACAGTCACTGTAGTGGATTTGAACATAGGGCCGCTTCCAGGAGCACTAGGAAGGAAAGCAAAATTTGGAGTCAGTACCTTTCAGAGAACTGCAGACAGAAATATGGTGTTACACGGGTAACCATGAGATTTTTTTTTTAAGGAAAGAGGAAGAATCTGTGCATATGCAGATTTAGAATATGAAAATATGTCATATTTTGTAATAAGATCAGTTGACTAGCGCATATATATATATATATATATATATATATATATAAAAAAAAGAGTAAATATTGTGCCCCCTGTTCCTTCATGTGAAGTTATCAGCTGAGGGGCCAATATTCTTACAAGGTAGTTCATTTTTCCTAGACATACTGGCTGGCCTAGTAAGAGACTGTATACCGGCCTAGTAAGAGACTGTATACCTCCCTAGAAATCTTGCTTCTCCTCCCAGCAGGCCATTATGGTTAACAACACTATTACTACAAATAGCAGAGGTTTTGCATTCCTTTGTGCTACAAGATATATTAAAACAGAGAGCATCTCATAGACCACTTCCCTCTTAGTCATCATCCTAGTGACTGCTGCTCTGCCCACAGGCAATCACCCAGCAGCTCCCATCCTATTTGTGTTCACAGACCGAACCGTCGCAACCTCAGCAATTTCTTTCATGGAAAAATAATATTAGGGAGAGTATTTCAGCTGACAGTAGTGCAATAAGTGATTCATCCCTCTTGAGAAAAAATTTATCACTGTCTACTTCAGTTCTTCATTTCATGTCCTCTTCCCATCTGTTCTATCTGACTTAATCGGAAAGCAAAGAGAAGAGCAAAAACTGTTTAAGCTGCCAATTTTCTAGGATCCGTATGAACTGCTCAGCACTAGGAGTAATGGACCTATGTTAAAACAATTTTTTTTGTTGTTGTTTTAACCAAATTATTCTATCTTACAATGCAGAGAAATACTGGATGACGGGTCATTGGGAACACTTGCAGGTGTTGTTTAGGACCCCAAGAAGTGCTGAGATAAAGAATGATGAATTTAATCCACTGGGTCTAGAAATTAACGTAGAGGTTTTATGAGAAAGTAATTCCTCATGAGAATTCCTGCCTTGTCCAGTTCTTCATAAATTGAAAATATATGTTAAAGAACCCACACAAATCCCTTCTTTAACAGAATAAAATGGTGACTTCTACAAAACCAACCAAGAAAATAGCAGTTTAAAAAATCCTGTGTGTCTGTGTACTTCATACCTCTAAGGATGCTAAGTGGTACTAAACAGCAACCCTTAAGTAGAGAAATAAAGCTCAGAGATAAATTAACCTTCAGAAACTAGAAGAAGGATATTTTTAAAAAAACAACCAAAACCCAACAAAACCAGAAACAACAAAACCCTGAAAAATCCGTGCTTTGCTAGCATGGAAAAAGGGAAATGGTTCCCTGAAAAAGGGAAAAAGTTCTTTCTCCTGACATATGCTAGATTCAGATTTTGGAGTACATTTAGGGGGAATAATATCTACTAACCTCAAGTATTAAATTTGGACAGTTAAAACACTGATGGAGGAGAAAGAGTCTCTACATGAGTTATCACAAAAAGATTAAAAAATTAAAATTAGGTGTCATGTTGCTTATGTCAAAAAGACCTCACAACATTCATGTCCCATCTACCTGTTTAGACAGACTGTTTCAGCACGCTGCCCACCATCTAAACTATGGAGAAAGAGACTATCACTGAACAAAAGCTACAACTTGGTTGGACTTCTCTGTTAGTTCACCTGGTGAGATGAAGGCTGGATAAAAAGAAAACATTTACGTTTGAGCATCTACTTTTTGCTTTTTTCCCCTGAGATTCCACTGTGAAAAGTTGGTACATATATTTTCAGTGGCTTGTCAGTCTCATAACTGTGTCATATTTAAGTGAGAATACAGTCACAACTAGCAAGCTCGATATTAATTTCAACAGTATGCCTACATGCAATACTAAAATTTATGACTAGCAAGGAGTCACTTTTGCAGAGGGAGGTAAACACTCCACTGAGCAGGGGGAAAAGGAACACTTACCTTCTAATATGAAAAAAAATCCAGTTATTGAAATTTAAAACTAGATTTCTGGATGCTTTCCCAGGCGAGCAGTTTGAAAACTAAATCGCAGAGATCTTTTACATCCTAGAAAGACAGACTGCATTCCTCACCTCATCAATGAAGTAGTGTCAGCCTGCAAATGCACGACCTAGTTCACTCAGCTTTCAGCAAATGTGCCTGGTTTTATGAAATATATATGAAACACATCTTTTTTTAAGCTAAAAATACATGTCATCTTAGCTTCACTGAAAAAGCAACGTTAAACATTCATTTCTGCACATAGTGTGAATTAAATTACTGTACACATACTCCTTCAAAAATGCCATAAAAATGCGTGTGTGGGGCTCCAGCCGAGGGACTCCAACAGCCCTACATCCCACAGCATCAGCTAATGGTGCAAGGCTTATTTTAAAGTATTTTTTAAGTTTCAGCAGCTATGCACTTACCATGTTGTCTCTTTCCTTAGCTCAGCTAGCTTGTGCAAACGTTGAAGGGCTTTTTCCTGTTTTCTTTCATCTTTTCGTGACTTAGATGCTACGTTTCGAGCAAACTCCCTCTGTTTCAGTTCCTTCAGTCTCTGAAAGAAATAGTCATATAATGCACACAAAAAAAAAACAGGTATGAGAAACACTTACAATGACAGTTACTTGCTGGTAAGCACTCATGGCACAAATTATTTTTGAACCTAACCAAAGTGACCCATTCAACAAATTTATACATTTCAAGTGAATAACCAAAATACACAGAGATGCTAGAGACAGGTTAGCTAGGTTAGACATAACCTCAAAAATTTTACTGTAGCTTTTGTGATTAATGTCGACCAGACTCAGTAGGATGAAGCAATGTTCAACCAGAACTTTGCTCATGACTCCCTTCCCAAAAACCTTCCCCACAGCCTAAATGCTCTTTGAGACAGTAATAAAAAGTAATGAGACCACCCCAGGTATCTTGCCGCAAAGCCACTCTGTAGCCTGTCGACCGCCCAGCCAACATTAGATCTCAGGTTTTTCTGCCTGAGACGCTGGGCATCACATTTGTCACTGCTCAGCCGCAGGAGGTCCCTGCCAGCCCTTTTCTCCAGCCTACCAAGGTCCCTCTGGACCTGCCCTGCCACGTTATCGGCGTGGTATCATCTGCCAGACTCCTGAGAGCGCGCTGTCCTGCTATCTAGGTCGCTACTAAAGGCGTTAAAGGGTCCTGTCCCAGCAGGGATCCCCGTGGGATGTAAGGGCCAGAAGTCTTGGATTTTGAAATGGGAATATCTTCCCTCTGAAGGAGCTTGTTTCCTGCCCTCACTGGTGTCTGAGGCAGCAGTTAACCAGATGCTGAGGTTCGATCCAGTATCTCATTTGACTTCATCTCCAGCCTGTTTCTTTGGGGGGAAATTAAAATGCACAGCTCTGATTCTCCACATTTCATTTTCTTTACATCACAGAAGGCCAATACACAAAGACTTTCCTAATCCTTCATGTCAGTGAAAAGTATTCCTGTAAGTCCCAAACCCCACTGGTGTATCGCAGAGTTGCTCAGTGTGTCCCCAGTATGGCTCACAGTCTAGATGACATCATTTTACGAGACTGTAATTCCACAATTCTGTGAAGAACCCAGTAACTTGCCACTGTTTTAGTGTCCAAGGGCTAACAGCCACCCATGAACAGCGGCCACATGGATTTGTAAAAGCAGTAATTCTAACTTCAAATTGTTTGAGGGGTATTGAGTAAGCACATGTTGGATACACATGTAATGGAGTTTGAGGAACTCTATAAACACTGCTCTACTGCTTCTTCTCAATTTTTTGTTTTGCCTTTTTTGTTATTTTCTTTCCTATTCAGAGAAAAATATCCCTCATATAACATCAGTAATTTACACACTGAAATCTGTCTTTGCCCTTTTGGGTTATGCTAATGCTACCTTGCCAGTCCATTTAACGCCAAGAAAAATATATGTAGAAACATTCTGAGAAAGCAAACAAATGCTTGCAGAAAAACAAGCACTACTCTCTATTTTCAATTTCTGAATTATTTTTACAATATCTGGATATTCCTTTGAAGATATCCTTGATAGATACAGAGAAATAATTTGAATGGTAATCACTTCTATCATTTACATTTTATAATCAAAATTTGTTTTATTGTGCTAATACAGCGTAAAGTTTATAAATTCACTCAAAACTGGATGTACAGTAGATTTTTTTTTTAAAAAAAAAGGCTTGAAATGTGACGCATCTTTGTAGAACATTTCTTACCCCTGCGCATTCATGTTTTTCTAAAGATAGTATGATACTGACCCTGCTTCCCACCAGCTACTCGTGAAACCCAAAGTATTTAATTTCACAGGTGACTTCTGAGTACTCAGAATACTAGCGAAGGGATGAAGTTTGCTCCTTCCTCTTCCCACCCTCCTGCCTTTGGCATTTAAAGACAGGATTTCATTCCATTTTGCAGAGCTCCACAATTCTTCAGGTTTTTTTCCCCTCCATGGTATATGGAAAGAAGTATGCAACAAAGCAGAATAAAAGACAGACAAAAGGGTGCATTTTCACAAGGTTAAAAAGGAGAAGCTAAGGTGCATACAAATCCATAATCACCCACCACCAGCAGCACTCTACTGTAATTACTGGGATGATTATAATTAGTGATTTGATCCTGACCAGATTTTGACCCCTTTTCTCTTACTGCTGAAAGTTAACAGGACTCCATGTTTCAGGGTGCAAGCACAGTCTCACTCACAGTGAATAGGGACAGTGCTGTTAAAGGAAGTTTTACCTGATCTTGGAGGCACAGAAGGTGCGTTTCATGCCTATCATTGCCAAGCAAACATCATTTTACTGATATGAGCCTCTCGTCAGCCTGATCCATCATTAGCTGTTTAGCACATACCGGTTCTCCTACAGAACTGTTCAGAAATTTCAAGTAATTGAATTGTTCTCCCTGATTGCCACAAGTAGTTGTCAATGTTTTGTGTGCACAGCCTTTGCGTCGGACTGCCTGCTCTTCTCTTCTGGAGAACTACTTGTTTCAGAGCTCTCCTTCTGTCAGAACTCCCATCAAATACCCTGCCCCTTTCCTGTACGGAAAACTGGTCTTAGCAGAATATGACCTAGTTATACAATGTGGATTTTTTTTTTTTTTTCTTACAACTGGTATCTCAGTCTTGAAGCTTGAAGAGCTTCAACAGTCTATATGGATTATGCCTCAGTAACTCTTGAGGACTTTACTCAGCAAAAATATAAGTGGAACTTTTCTCAGCTGTAAATCACAAAACATGCACCTTGGTTTGAGGCCTGATTGGGCAGTTTCCAAAAAATACTATTTTCTATACTTAAAATGTCATCTAAGCGAGAAAATGTGTGTCCCAATTTTTTTATATTGCAGTTATTTTCCATTTGTCTTTATTTAGCCGTCTGATAAACTATCATCACCTGCACTTCCTTACTGCACTTTGTCATGCTACTGACTGCTAGCACTGCATTTATACAGCCCTATATTTGTATTTTGTTGGGTTTGCTTGTATTATGCAAATGAAAATGAGATATTACCCAAATATAAGTAAAATGCCATTAGTCCAGGCATTCTGAGTATCACAAGGCCTCGACAAAACTTGTTCAAAGTAAATGGTGGTAATAAAAACACAAGTGTGCCTTATTACTAAGAAACATCTTTTTCTTAACATTTTTATGTCTTTCCACATGGCAGATCTATTCACCAGTGCTAATTTCAATCGTTCGTTTAATGCCTGTTATGTTTTTTTGCTTCCATGGATCAGTAAGCAAATAATTAGCAGGCAGTCATACAGTATTTAAATATGATTCCCTCCTGTATTTTGCTCTGTTTATGAATCAGCTCAAAACATCTAAGCCCTAGCAAGCAGAGTTCAACAAACAGTTCACAATGAATAATTAAACAACATTTCTTCAAGAGAACTAAATGCCTTCATCATTATCCTGATACCCTGTACTGCCACTTGGAACGTGCAGAGCACGGACCACCGTTGTTTCACAAATGGCCTCCCCCAGCCCGGAGCAATGGGAAGCCTCACCCTGATCTTCCAGCCTTGCAACGAGATCCTGCAACTGGGCTGCTTCCACTTGGACAGAAGATGGATTATTTAATCAAATCTAACTGTGACACTGTGCCTAAAGCAGAAATACTCCACCTATTTCTGACAAACTCAGCTGGGAGTCTTACTGCACACCCGTTACGTCATGATGAGCTGAGGTATGCAAGTCCAGGCGAAAAGGAAGACTTTACCAGCTCCTGTGTACCTATGCAGGGATGAAACTATACATGAGCAGACCACATAAGTCCAAACTCACATGTAGCTGCATTTCACTCAGAGGCAGAGAACTCAAGTGTCCCCAGGCTTGTCGTGGAAAATACCAATCAAAAAAATCAAAGAAATCCTGAGTGGACTTCCAATAGGACCTCATTTCTGGTTACTACACCTTTGCCTTCATTTCCCCTTTTACCATATGAGACAGCTAATTTCAGCATGCCGCTTGTCAGAAAGCTCATGCTGAGTTTCCTAATTCTCCCCTGCATTTTATAATATAGGAACCACAAGCCCAGATCCTGCTGCTGTAGCCAGGTGCCTGAAGACCTCCATGGATCAAAGCCTCTTGAAAGACACATTATGGCATTAAGTTCACTTCTTACATTACTAATACAAGCCTTCCGCCACCTTGTAAAGTGGTTGTTCAGTGGGTTTTTTTAGAAAGCTTAAGATTTAAGCACTTGTAACAATAGCACTTCAAACTAATAGCTCTTCAAAACATAGAGAAGATGTTAATTAATAAATATGACCAGGACAGCAAAAGCATGTAGAAGCTAAACAGTGAAACACAATGTTTCTAAATACTAAGATACCAGGTGATAAAACGAGAGGAAAAACCCTCAAAAAACCTCAGCCTCAAATAATTTGATACCTTGAAACATATAATTTAATGTTATCAGAACTGACGCTGAAGAAAAGCAGTGAAACTTTTAACAAAATTTATGAAACCAAAGGGGAAATCATAACAAGCATCAGGATTGATACAGGCTCTCTCTGTAGCATTAATATCTCACATAAAAAACAGACATCCCCCCCAGCACAAAGACATCTTCTAAGGACTGCTTATTCAGGGAGGCTCCCATAAACTACTGGTGCAAAGCTTATCTCCCTAGTCTGGGAACAACTTTAATAGGGTCAAGAACCATTGGGAACGGTTTTTATAATAGCAGGAATCAGAAAGATGCCTATCAGGGGATTTCAAGGCAGTGCAGTTCAGATATTATTATGCTAATTTGCTTTTGACCTTAGATTAACAATTAAATTACGTGAACTTTTACGATGCTGAAAATATGTAGACCATAAATTCATTTTCTGATCAATGGAAGTATAAAATTACAGAACTTAACAGGCATGACATGAAATTTTGCTGCTTTATTGTCTTTTTATTTTATCAGGGAAAATGACCGTATTCCCAGTAGTCACTGAATCACGAATTTATGTGATTGTTAGCTTTTAAAAATAACTCATCAAAATAAAATTTCCTTATCTTGCTCCCTAATTATGAAATACTCAAAGCTGCAGCCC